AGGGAAAGTAATATAAGTAATTCATAAATATAGCACTTGACTATATATTTCCTGTTTTGAATGAGATGAGGGTAGGGGGCCAACTACAACTAAACCTGAACTGTATGCGCTTGCTTATGAAGTGGTTGTAAGCGCAGTGACTCTGGAACTGTTCTCGATGTGCTACAGGATTGGGAGAATAAACGTGTGAGGAGCCAGGGTTCTCCCAGCGGGAGGAGCACACAAGCACGGACTGGGGGGGTGGGCAATAACACTGTGGCTGTGGGCCGGAATTATAAGCCTTGGCGTGAGTTCATGACTTCTGAAACATGTACTGTATATGTGTGCATGTGCACATGTATATGTACACATGTGCATATTACATGTACACGTGCATGTGTTTTGGTATGTTCATGTATATATGTATGTGTGTGTATATGTTTGTGCCTGCATATATATTTCATTACATACACACCCTGGCTTATCTGCTGAGGAGGCCAAGAAACAACCCCCCCGCCCCCCCCCATGGCCATGAGTACACAGAGTGCGGGGATTTTGGTCTTAGAAGTCACCCCTCACTAAAAGGAACCTGGGCCCCACCATCCGGAGATTGTCTGCTGACTGACTTCCTGGCAGAGTGCAGGTCCTAACAGACAACCACACCGACGCTGCCGAGGGGGGGTGCGCCGTCAGAGGGGAGTCCTGCCCCAGGAGCAGAAAGCCTGGACTCCTTCCCAGAAACAGGCGGTTTGGGGAGATGGAATGGCAACACCGAGGGCTTTTCCTGAGACAAAACTCACCCAGTTTTAAAGTTCTGAGACCATGTTCCTCTTACTTTTCGTGTGTTAATATGTTCTTCTGAAACTGAAATAGTGGCAACAATAGATAGTGCTGGGTGTTTTGTTTTGCTTTGTTTTAATGTCTTACTTGGCAAAGTAAACTCTGACAGTGCTAAGTCAGTCCCAAATCCCCCTGGCGTTTCACTCGTCTATAAAACCCAGAAGCCTGGGCACTGGATTAGATAACCTCTTTAGTCGGTCTCGACTCTCAGGTTTCATAAAGGTCCTGGAGATTCAACAAATTCTCTCTAAATTTATTAAAGAGTAAAGAAACCAAGTGAGCTCTTTTGATTATTACAAATACAAAAATCACTTGGGACAAACACTAAATAACTATCACATGGTTTAACATGGGTAACTCTCAATGGAGAAAGACACAAGGGAAACACCTCATGAGTAATAGGTGATTTATTCATTCAAACAAAATGATTGCAAAGTTCAAGTATCATTAATGGATGTGTAGGAACTTAAAAAAAAAAGCCATTATTATTTTGTAACTCCTTTTAGAAATAAAAACATGGCCTAGAATCTTACATCATGAAAATCCATGATGAAGAAATATGGACTCCTTCTTGCTTTTATGATCTGTAATACAATTATGGTTTATTGCCTTTACAATCTGTTATATGATTACGGTTTATTTGGAAACAAACTGGCCCAGCAGAGCGCTCAGACACAGGAGCTGAAGTGACGAGGCGGAGTGGAGGAGTTTTCTTTAGTGCATGTAGAATGCATGTGTCACTCACGGTCGATTCAAGCCCAAGGTAACAGCCCCCTGAATGCTTTTTGAAAGAACAGCCTTAGGAGATTTTTCCAAGGACATCGCTTTGGGGAAAAAAGGATTCTCCCCCTTAATCCTGGACGCCTGTGCGTGGGGAGGCCGGCGGACAGGGTGGCCCCCACCCTTGCCGCTCCTCACTTTGCTCTGTGTCCCGACGGCGCCCGCGCCCAGCTGTTTACGGATGACGGGGTCACACGTGCGGGCCCCACGCGGCAGAGCGAGGCCGCCTGGTGGCGGCGGCCCCCCGCAAGGTCCCGGGCGCGTGCGGGGCTGGAAGGGCGTCGTCCCTC